GAGCATTTGCTTTTATTTTTCTTTCTTCTATTAATATCGGATATTAAGCCTCTACAAGATAATATTTCGTTAATCTTTTAATCCATTTGTGTTTTGGGTGTTTGTTTTCAAACCATCAAATCCAGAGATTTCTTTACTACAGGTAGTCCTCGCCTTATGACCACAATTGAGCTCAAATTTTCTTTTGCTATTTAAGAAGGTTGTTAGCAGAATTTTGTCTCATTTTACAACTTTTCTTACCATAGTGGGTATGGCTCGTTGGGGCCATACTCCGGAAAAGCCGAACTTCAAGGTGCTACTGTGCATGCTGGCCAGACGATCAGCTGGCAGTCACACATGTGCACAGCGGTTTTTGGCAATGCCGTGTGCGTGAAGGATAGCTGATCTTTGAATTCACATATGTGCCAGAAACCCAGAAGAAAAACAGGGAAGGCCATATGGTCTGGGCAATATGGCTTCACGTGCCACTTCAAGCAAGTGCGCTGTAGGTTGGCCGTCACGTATTTCGGCCATCTCCTGCAATCGTGCAAGTGATCATTGACTTTCTAAACATGGAAAATCAGTTTGATACATTACTACTCTTCCATAATATTATTTGTAATCAGGGAGAAATGACGCTGGCAGTGGTAGATTACAACTGATCCATTGTAATAATACAGAAAGGTAGGAAAGTCATCCATGCCTCTTTTAAGTGCTCTTTCAATTGGAAATTTTGAGATTGTTTCAAACTGACAGTGCAAAATTTTCCCCAGCTCTACAATACTGGTGATATTTTTAATAATATTTCACTTTTTACCTGGAGAAGGGCTGACAGGATTTAAAAAGCAAAATCAACCATGCCCTTTTTCCCGTTTCATCAATTTTACCAATAGCACTATAAAATAGCACTGTTCCAATATTTGAGGGGCTCCTACCCAAATGAGGGAGTCAATCTATTTTCCAAAGCATCAAAAGGCACATCAAGAAACAATGGATGGAAACTAACCAAAGAGAGATGCAACATAGTACTCAGGAGAAATTTGCTGAGGGTGAGACCAATCAACCAATGGAATAGCTTGCATTTAGAAGTTCTGGATCCTCCATCACTAGAGGCTTTGAAATAGGCTTTCAGACTATTTGTCTGAAATGATGTAGGCTCTCCTGCTCGAGCAGGGTGTTGAACTAGAAAACCTCTAAGGTCCCTTCCAACTCTATTATTCTATGTTCTCTATACTCTAAATTGGGTGCTTCACAGCAGAAGCAATATAGCTGGCTGTACCACACATGCATTAAATTCAAGGGCTGTTTGATCAAATGTCAGCAAACTCTCCTGTAAGGCTGTAAAATAGTTACCTTTGACACATTTGGGGATGTCAGGAACCCACGAGCTGTTCTCCCCACATTTAATATGGAGGCTTCCCACAGCAGAATAGCCAGAATTACATTCAAAGCTGATAACATCATTATAGGTATATGAAGGCTTAGATGAATTAACTAATTGCCCATTTTCCACATTTGGTCGATAACACTTGACTTCTGAAAAGAGAAAGCAGCATTTAAACAAAACCAGTTCAGAACAACAGCTTATAAATAAAAACAACCAAGAGCTGCTCTTGGCTAATAAGGATATACAATGAGCATTTGCTTTTATTCTTCTTTCTTCTATTAGTATCAGATATTAAGCCTCTACAAGATAATATTTGGTTAATCTTTTATTCGTTTATGTTTTTGGCATTTGTTTTCAAACCATCAAATCCAGAGTTTTCTTTACTACAGGTAGTCCTCGCCTTATGACCATAATTGTGCCCAAATCTTCTGTAGCTATATGAGACATTGTTAGCAGAATTTTGTCCCATTTTACGACCTTTCTTACCACAGTTGTTAAGTGAATTGCTGCAGTTCTTAAATTAATAACACCGTTGTTAAGTGAACGTGGCTTCCCCATTGACTTTGCTTGTCAGAAGGTGACAAAAAGGTATCACGTGACCATGGGACACTGCATCCATAATAAAGTTGTGTCATTTTCAAGGATACAAATTGGGACCATGTGACCTTAGGAATGCTGCAACAGTCATAAGTGTGAAAAATGGTCATAAGTCACTTTTTCTGAGCCATTGCAACTTATTGCTGCAGAAATTGGAAGTCTCAGTAATTTTGCAATCATTGACCAAAAAGAGAGGAACACAATGTAAAAACATTGTTCATAATAAATTTGAATATTATTATCTTCAAATAAGAAGTATGTTTATATGTGCATAACATGTAGGGCTTCTATAATATTTTTACTATGTTCTACTATAACATTTCTGATAGCTGTCTTATGAATTCCACTCTCCATTTAGTGATGGTGAACCTTCGCGCTCAAAGGGCAACTGATCATTGCATGCACATATGTGCCTGGAAGACAAACAGGGAAAGACACGTGGTCTGGGCAACATGGCTTCCCGTGCCACTTTGGGCACGTGTGCCATAGGTTGGTTGTCATGAATTTTGGCCCTCTCCTGCAATCGTGCAAGTAATCATTGACTTTCCAAACATGGAAAATCAGTTTGATAGATTACTACTCTTCCATAATAATATTTGTAATTAGAATCAGGAATTCTATCAGGCTGAAGGCAAGGGATGTCTGAAGGAGGGTTTCATTTCTTTGAGTTAACCTCTTAATTAGACAAGAATTACAGTTAACAGTTTGCCCTACATTATAAACCGTTACAATATTTCTCAAAGTAGTTTATGATACTGTCCCCTTTGTTATTTTTCAAATTCTCCTCTCCTGCATGGAACACAGAGCTTCAGAGATTATGTAATAATTTTCGCCCTTCAAGAATTTTATTTATCAACAACAACAGCTAAAAAAGCAATTTATCTGATTAAAGACACTTTCATTTTTCCTTACTTTTACATTCAGGGAGAGGCAAATTCCACTTTCCATTTCGGCCATCTTCTGTAGTTATGCATGTGAGGGTTGAATTTCCTATCAAGGAGAAATCACGCTGGCAGCGGTAGGTTACAACTGATCCAATGTAATATTCGTCTTTATGGTCAGCATCAAAATGTCCATTGACGATTGTTTTAGGACGATCACAAGGTATAACTGAGGGAGAGAGAATTATTTACCTGAAGTCACGTTTTAACTAAAATTACAGTTACATTTTGGCAGTGGAAGAATATTCAGGCTGTTTGAAGGGGTTACTACACTACAGGCAAGTTAATAAACATAGAAATGTTCTCCACCAGCTGAGAGCAAAAAGCTTGCTTGGTATGTAGCAGAGGATAAATCATATTACAGAACTATTTAAATCTTTATTATATTGTAAGTCATCCAGAGTCCCTGTACTAATGAAATGAGATGCATAGATATTAAATAACAAACAAAGTATTTGGACTCTACGCTATTCACGACGAATGAGGTTTTGTCATGTAGCAGTTGTTGCACTCAAAGGCTATAGCTGTAAAATGGATTTTGCTAATATCCTTAGAACAGATATTTTCAGTATATTGATAGGATTGGGAGATATTTATTTTGGAGATAGGGGAATTATTGCAACATACATTAGGCAACAGAGGGACTGATAAATATTGTGGAGAAGTATAAAAATTGTTTGGCAGTTTAATAGATTTAGTTGACGCAGATATGTTTCAATCTTAGTAAGAAAGCAGTAGAATTATTGCAAGAAATTTGGGATTTGGAATTCTCAGGAATAGCAATAGGTTTCTATATATGGAAAGCTGGGGAGTTTTCAGGATGAAGAACAGTAATACATGGTTTAGTTAAATAAGACTGTTCAAGGACCTTTTCTTCAGTACAAGGAGTTCTTGCTTAACGAGTAGAATTGTTGGTCATTGCCGTTTTTAAACAGATCACCATGTGACCCGACAGGTTTATAACTGTCTTTCACAGCAGTCATTTTTGCAGTTTTCTGCTGGAAATAGAAAATTATGAATCAAAGTCACTATGATTGCTGGAGGTTGTAACTGGTCATAAGAGATGACCCAATTTCAAAGTGCCTGAAGTTTGATGAGGGGGTCTGTATGAACTACTTGTCAATTCAAGGACAGGCAATAACTACCTTTTTTCACTGTGTCCTATCTTTGAACTCTTGTTAAGTGAATACTCAATAAGCAAGCATTTCCTGCACTCTTTACATCTTGTATCATAACCTAAACTAAACCCTGCCACTTTTTGGAAACTGCATGAAAAATCACTGACATAAACTTTAATGACTTTAAAGTAAAATCTCTTACGGTCGCAAAGTGGGAATGGTTTATGCCAGTCAACCTTGCCATCTTTCAGAATACACTTAAGTGTATCTTCACCAACAGGCCTATACCTAAAGACAAAGAAAAACAATTCAGAATATACGTTTTTAAATCTCATGTTGTTATTATCTCTTAGGAATTAGAAGAGAGCAAGATGCATGGTATTAAAATTTAATAAATGATCAAGCAAATAAACAGAAGAAAGATGGTAAAAATATTTAAAGAAAAGGAAGTATTACAGAAGCTGGAGTCCCATGAAGCAGTTTTTAAGAAGCGGGTGAAAAAAGTCTCAAACAGGAGAAAATGCTGTCTAAATGTTCCACAGTTAGGAGCAAAGGACTCATTTTGTTTCTCACTAAACGATTCATATTTATACATACAAACAGTGGGCAGATGTACCTTTCTTGATTTATATAGTAACAGGTAGACTGTTTATATGTTTTTACATTTGAAAAGAACAATTTAGAACAAGCTTAATTTTATTTTAAACTGATTTTTGTGGCTGTTACTTCTAAGGCAACTGTTTTGAGATGAACTACAACTCACCCATGTAGACAGGAGATAGTTATATTGCCACCCAGACGGAGGGCGTTGTCAGGATAAGTACTTGGGTTGCTGTGTTCTATGTGTGGAATGGGACATTTTTTTCCTAGAAGAATAATTAGCATGTACATTAGTGTCTTCGTTTAATGTAGAAGTCATTCAGATCCGACGTATCACAGGACGGCAACAGGCGTCACCACAAAGAGTAAATCAGTCATGTGGAAATGCAGCACTTCTACCTCAGGGTTATAATGCTAATCTAAATCCAGGCTGATGTGACAAGCCTCTTTCACTCCTGCACTAGAGAGATGCAGAACCTTCCAGGGCAACGGAGGCATCTGCAGACCGCACGCTTACCTCAAAATGACAAAAGCAGGTTGGTATTGTTACAATGTAGTGTCACCCCTGCCATATCCTTCTGTGACATCATAATATCTGTGCCAAAGGGGTGGCATTGGTGCTGGAACTATGCAAAGTTGCTATTTTATCTAAAGCTATATCAACTATGTATATCAGCTATATTGAGATCGATATATATACATCGATATTGATAAGTATCAATAAAAAATAATTACAGAATTTATATAATTAATGTTCAGTATAACGTTAATTAAAAATTGACCAAACCAAAGAACGTACTTATTTAGATGATGTGAAAAAGTATACAAATCTTTGAGCTTAATGCCACAATCTACAGTGCTATATTGTTATTTAGAAATGCTATAAATAAACAAAAGAAGAAACAATCTATTAAAATAGGATATGTAAGTTAGTAATCCTGGAACTCCAGAAATAATTGTCTCTCCTGCCCTATTCTCAAGCCTATCTCTTTATTGGCTTTTTCTGAGGAAACCATTAATCACGATAGCCGAGTAGATACAAGGAAACTCCCATCATCTACTATGGTTTGGAACTGGGACATGCTTGTAAAATAGTTAGAATCATTTCCCAAAACTAAAGCAGATCCAACACTACAACAGTGCTTGCCACATCTCAAGTGCAGGCTCTGGATCTACATTCTAGACATTAACAGCAAGGATGCTCACCAGCCAACTTGGAAAAGACCCTAGAGAATACCAATGCAGGAGTTCATTACAAAGAATACCCCATTTGGGTTTCCCACTGAACAGATCTGTTCCAAGAGCAAGAGGATGTTAAAGGACTAGACAGTATGAAACACTAGAAAGTATGAAAAGCGTGAGGAATTAAAATTTTATAGACTATACTACATTGGACTAGATTCCCTTTTGCTGCAACTGATATCCTTTTGTCTTAATCAGAAGGACTCTGATGGGACTATTTCTACTTAATACATTTTTATTGAAAGACATACACTTTTGTGACCTCAGCTCACTTCACCACATGCATTTTTTGTTCCAATTAGTATCATGAATGTCTAAGCAGCATGGCTGCAATATATTAAGCATAGCTGAGATTGTTTTTTGTTTGTTTTTTCCCTCTCCCCCAACCTCCCAGATAAGCATTAGAAAAGGAAGTGCTTGCAGGTCACTCATTGGGTGGCAACACTAGTTGAGGTCAGGTCTACTATAAGGTGTAAGAAAGAGAATGATGTTGGTTCTTTGCTGTCCTCTGGTTTTATTTTTTCACAAATGGGATACGGAAACACCTCTCTGCAAACCCTCTTCCAAAATTGCTGGATATATTTATATTCAATTTTTTTCTGATCTTTCATATTTATGTTCTTATTCAGGATTGTGGTTCTTTCTTTATTTATTTTGAAACCCACCATTTCTCCAAACATTTTGACCTTCCTCATAACACATTCAATATTCTCTTGCATGTCTTGCACAATCAATACCAAAGATCAGCAAATGCTTGCAGTTTGTAATTGTGTGCTTTGATTTGTAGCCTTTCTGCTCTGGTATCTTGTAATATCTCTATTTCATAGTTCCAACTGATGAGATAAACTTCCAATAGATAACAAAGGTGATAAAAGACATCCCTGTCTTGATCCTTTCTGGATTTCACATGGTTTTAGCAAATTTCCATTCACTGTCATCGAAGCTTTCTGGAGTGTACAGAAGGACTTTATACCAGGGGTGAGTTCCTGCCAGTTCTAACCTCTTCTATAGAAGAGGTTCCACAAATCTACAGTGTCGTTTAGAACTGGTTCCAGCTCCCTCCCTCCGCCTGTCCGGACATTATCAAGATGAAGAGCGAGAGGAGGAATTCTGGGAGTTGAAGTCCACAAGTCTTAAAGCTGTCAAGTTTGAATACCCTTGGGGTTTTTTTCCTAAAGGGTTAGTGATGCAAGGGTAACTTGACAGCTTTAAGACTTGCGTGCATAAAATGCCAGAGTTTCTGAGCCAACATTTTGGTTGCTAAGCAAGAGCGTTGTTAAGTGAGTTTCACCACATTTTATAAGTTGGCCATGCCCATCCAGTCAGATGACTGCCAAGCCACTCCCACTCAGTCACATGGCTGGCAAGCCACTCCCACCAAGTCACATGGCCGGCATGTCACTCCCACAAACCAGGCGACACCTACAGAAGAGGTTCTAAATTTTTTTGAAACCCACCACTGCTTCAGATGCTTCATAAATCCTGATCCAAAGTCTTCTTTTAACATAAAGGCCCAGTTCAAGTTGTGAAATGCTTCTGTAGCCTGTCTAGTGCAATGGCATGGGATTTTATCTACTTTATGTGTAATTTCAAGATTGTAAGAGATTGTCTTCCGCAAGACAGAAGTGTCAGTATTCAGATTGAACCCTGATTGCAGAGGATTCATCCCCTGAAGATTAAATTCCTATGCAAATAAGATGGACAGTTTTTAGAAAGAAAGGAATTTGTTATTCCTGTTTCTTCATTATTAATTCACTGTAAATATTAGAATGCTAAGGTTCTCATCTAGGATATATGAAGCACTTGTTTAGGATTTTTCTTGGATTGTATAATGAGGTTTTGGAGGAGCCAGTGAAGGCTGAGATATAAGAATAGTAAATATGGATGATCTATGTTTAAGAATGAAACCATCATGAAAATACTCACCCTGACACATTGGTGGAATTTCAGACCATTTTGAAGTGTTCAGACATTTAATTGAAGGGTTCCTTCCAGGAATATATTCATAACCTGGGATGCAATGGTATGTCAGGACAGTTCCAACCGGATAACCTTCTTTTGGGAATTCTTCTTTTAGTGCTGAGTGGGGTGGTGGTTTCGGAGCCATGCAGTTATCTGGAAATTAATAAAAAACGTTTCAAGCAGGAGTAGTAAAGACACATTTAAAATGAAACTGTGGGCTGATTTAAAAGACAGAAACCATTTGTTTGTTTGTGTATCTGTGTGTGTATAGAAGAGACCATATTCTAACAAAACATTGTAGCTAAATTTTCTCAAATAGGGACAGCTTCGAGCACCTTCTTTCTTGTACATCAACAAGATGCTGAAAATTCTCTTAGTAAAATTGCCCCAATATTACATGAATGTCAGACCCAAAAGGAGCATTTGACAGGTGACCAAAAAATGGAAAGAAAAGGGGTAGGTGGGTGGGTATATGAATGTCCTTCATGTTTATCATGTACACAACAATGCTCTTCTATCCATAAACTGACTGAAGAGGTTGACGTAAGAAGAAAAATACACCCCTTCTCCAATCTAACCTATTTTCCTTTGTGTGTGTGTGTGTGTGTGTGTGTGTGTGTGNCAAATGGATCGTACAACAAATCTACTCGGAGTTCTCACTCAAGTTCAAATTCGAGCAGGGTTAGGATTCTACCGGTTTGGACTAGTTCAGGTAAACTGGTAGCTTCGACGATCAACTGGGAGCGAACCGGTTTTCTCCAACGATCAGCTGGGCCCGCCCACACACCCTTGAATTCTACACCGTATTTTCTGAGTATAAGATGCTCCTAAGTATAAGACTCACCTAGCTTTTGGGGAGGAAAACAAGGGGGGAAATCTGCCTCTGCCTCCCAGCAATTTTTCTTCTTGCAGCAAACAGCAAACAGTACAGACAATATGCACTGTTTGTAGTGTTACATTTCAGACTATACTTGTACAGATGCTGTTAAAATTGATGTGGCTTTCTGGAAGTATACTTATTCTCTGCTATTTAAAAAAAAGATACCATAGCACTGGGCCTCTTCAGATCAAGCATTTCTTTTAAAAAGCTTCTTCATTTTGTTAAGTTGTCTAGAACAATGATAAAGCAGCCTTTAAAAAATAAGTCTAATAATTTGAACGTTCTATAGGCATCTATAGTTATTGACTTATTTCCTTGCAGCAAACAGCCTGATTAGCACAAGAGAAAAAAAATCTGCCTCTGCCTCCCAGCAACTTACCTCTGTGCAGCAAACAGCAAGTTTCACTTTCAATTTCAGCAGGGGCCTCCTGATCATCAGCTGTTTCAGGCTGCAGGGATTGTCATAGCCTATTGCAGCCGCCGCAAGCCCCATTTTCTCTGTTTGCTTCAAAGAGGTAAGTTGCTGGGAGGCAGAAGCCAAAGGGTGGGGGCCAGTGGGTGGGTGGGGCTACATTCAGTGTATAAGACACACCTAATTTTTCACCCTCTTTTAGGGCGGGGAGAAAGGTGCGTCTTATACTTCGAAAAATACGGTACTTATATCCTCTCAGTTGAGTCGCTCAGCGGAGCAGATTGCTGCGCCTCATCTGTTTTCCTCCCCAGCAGTAGTGCAGAAGGTAAGGTGTTTTTTTTCAAAACTGAGCACCCACGCGCAGCGAAGCGTGCAATCACCGAACCGGTTGTTAAACCGGTAAGATCCCACCACTGAATTCAAGTATTTTGAACAGCTCTCTGAAGAAGATTTTAATGCTGGAATATGTGGAAGGAAGGAGAAGAAGTGGACAACCAGCACCAAGGGGGATGGATTCAGAGGGATGATGGGTGTACCGTTGAAGGATCTGAAAGACCAGGTGAAGATCATAGAGAGTATGTGTCTAGGTCAAGGGCAGTGGTGGGATTCAGAAGCTTTTACTGCCGGTTCTGTGGGTATGGCTTGGTGGACGTGGCTTGGGCATGGCAGGGGAAGATTACTGCAAAGTCCCCATTCCCTCCCAATCAGCTGGGACTCGGGAGGCAGAGAATAGATGGGGCGGGGCCTGTCAAAGGTGCTATTTAGCGGTTCTCCAAACTACTCAAAATTTCCACTACTGGTTCTCAAGAATTGGTCAGAACCTGCTGAATAACACTTCTTGTCAAGGGTCACCAAACTTGGCAAGCTTAAGACTTGTGGACTTCATCTTCTAGAATTCTCCAGCCAGCATGAGAAATCCCAGGCTGACTGAGGAATTCTGGGAGTCGAAGTCTACAAGTCTTAAAGTTGCCAAGTTTGGAGATCCTGGACCAGGTGATTGGTAAGAGTCAATACTGACTTGGTGGTAGATGATCAATGAATTCTTGCTGTCATGTGTTTGCTATTCAACACAACAATCAGGCCCACCACATTTCTACAATATATTTCCTGACATACACAACTTATTATTCTGTACTACTTTCCCTTGGATGTGGATATATTATCAAAGCCGGGTTGGAGTTGTGATTTACTGAATATATCACAATTGACTGGACTAGCATAAATGATTGAAACATCAGCCATGGATTATTAACTACAATGACTGGGATATTTTATTTGTTTCTGAAACATTGAGGCAACTCTACCCTAGAATGGTTCTGCAGGGCTGATCTCAAATCAAAACAATAAGAAAAAGCAATTAAAAGTAATAAAATCCCATCTGTCCAGACACACGGACTCCCTCTTACCAAACAAAAAACCATCACCTATAGCAGTGATAGCTAACCTGTTTGTCCTTATGTGCCAAAATTGTGTGTGTGTGCATGATAGCCACACCCATATTGCAATGCACCCTGCCCCCTTGTGCATGCACGGATGTCTCCCTGTGCATGCGCACATGAATCCCCTGTACATGCGCGCATGACCCCTTGTGCATGTGCACATGATTCCTTTGTGCATGCATGCACAACCCCATTGTTCATGTGCGCATTGCCCCCTTGTGTATGCATGCATAACCCCCTTGTGCATGCGCACATGACCCCTTGTGCATGTGTGCATGACCCCTTGTGCATGCCTGCATGACCCCCTTGTGCAAGCGTGGATGATCCCCCTGTGCTTGTGTGCATGACCCCCTGTGCTTGTGTGCATGACCCCCTGTGCATGCCCGCATGACCTCCTTGTGCATGTGTGCATAACCCCCTTGTGCATGCACACATGACCCCCTTGTGCATGCACACATGGCCCCCTTGTGCATGCACATATGACCCCCCTTGCACATGCGCATATGACCCCCTTGTGCATGTGCACATGACCCCTTGTGCATGTCTGCATGACTCCCTTGTGTATGTGCGCATGACCCCCTTGTATATGTGCACATGGCCCCATTGTGCATGTGCACATGACCCCCTTATGCATGCATGCATGACCCCCCCCATATGGCCTATTCAGCCTTCTGCACCATGCCTGCAGGGAGTTTTCACCCTCACCAGGCTACGGAGCCTTTCCTTGGGCCTCCGGAAAGGCAAAAACGAACTCCCCCGGGATCCAGAAGCCATCTGGAATCTGGAAAGGCCCATTTCTGGACTTCTAGAACTTCCAGGAGGCCCATTTTTCTCCCTCCCCAGGTTCCAGAGGCTTTCTTTGAGCCTCTAGGAGGGCGAAAACGGCCTCCACCAACCTATGGAGGCCCTCTGTGAAGCCTCCTGGCACAAAAAACAGAGTGGGTGGGGGCACTGCAACCCCTGTGCTCCCCCTGCCCCATGCATGTGTGCGTGTCTCCTGCATGTATGGCAGAGATCCAAAAATCAGCTGGCTGGCGCAGAAGTTGGTTCCTACCAGTTCGGTTCAGTTTGACCGAGTAGGAAGTAACTTGGCCGCCCATGCACCCAAACCAGTTCTATTGTCGGCAGCTCCACTTTGATTTTTTGGTTCTGCGCATGTGCAGAACAATCTCCATTGTGGAGCTTTTTTGTGTGCCAAACCAGCAGTAATGCTGGTAGCAAGCCACGCCCATGAGCACTGGCCAGCTGTTTTTTGGGCTTCATTTTTGGTGGTTTTTCGGGAACGGACTTCCGGTTTGTGCATTGGGCTGTTTTTCACCTCCTGAAGCTTCTGGAGGGACAAAAAGCGCCCAAAACAGAAGTTCGGGAAAGGACTTCTAGTTTGCGTGTTGGACCGTTTTTCTCCCTCCGGAGGCTTCCGGAAGCTTCCCTGAAGCCCGCAGAGGGCAAAAAATGACCCAACATGCCTCCTGGAAGCCCCGAGCCTTCA